GTTTTAGGGTACCATAGCCTTTGCAAGCGCGATTCCAATTAGGAGGATATGAACAAAAGAGCAGCAAGCCCTTCTTGAGTTTCATACTCTGCGAGCGATGGGGACGTTAACCTGAGGAGCAGTATTAGGTTGTCCGGAAAGTTCTCAGCGTTTTGTGCACCTATTTTTGTACATTCACTGCTGATTAAAAACTCATTCTGCCTTGCTTCTCAGTAGCACATCCTGTAGAGAATTTCTTGCGCTATCTGATGGTATAATTGCCGTTTCACCATTGCTTGATAAACCCCTTTTTTCAAGATTTTTTCAAGCATGTGAAAAGAGCACTTCGGACGATTTTTTTCTTCGACTATAAATTGGGGCAATCCGCAATCGAAACAGCTCAACAAATTAACCAGGTGTGGGAGCCCAATAGTGCTAGAGAAAGCACTGTGCGGCAATGGCTCAACAAATTTCGTTCTGGAGATTTCAGCCTTGAAGATGAACCTCATAGCGGTCGACCTAAAGCAATATCTGACGAGGATTTTAGGGGGATTTTGGAGGCTGACCCATCCCAAACAGTTCGAGAGATAGCAGAAGAGCTAGGCCTTGGCAAATCCACTGTTGCAGATGGTCTGGAACGCATTGGGAAGGTGAAAAAACTCGACAATTGGGTGCCCCACAATCGGAGTGACCGGCAGGAATCGGCACGTCTCGAGGTTCCTTCTGCATTGCTTTTGCGCAGCAGAAACGACCTGTTTTTGGACCGAATTGTCACCTGTGATGAAAATGGATCATGTATGATAACAGGAGACGTTCCGGACAGTGGTTGGATTTTGACGGACCACCGAGGTAATTTTCAAAGCCGAACCCTCCGAAAAAAAGATTCTGGTCAGGCTTGGTGGTCATCGGCTGGTGTGATCCACTATCACCAGGCCAAACCATCACAGCAGAACCCTACTGTGAAGAAATCGACGAATTGTACCGAAAATTTTGTCAGATGCAGCCAACACTTATCAAAAGAAAGGGTCCGATTCCCTGACAACGCCCGCCCACACGTTTCACAAATCACTATCCATAAATTGAACGAATTGGGGGTTGAAGTTCTACCACACCCACCATATTCTCCAGACCTTTCACCAACCGACTATCACCTTTTCAAACATTTTCAGAACTTCCTTGCTGAAAAATACTTCATCAATTAGGACCAGGCAAAAAAGACCCGTAGATTTCGTGGATTCTCGACCACCCAGTTTTTTCTTTTATGGGATTTCTCGACTGCTGTCACATTGGCAAAAGTGTGCTGATTCGAATGGTGCCTATTTCGATTAAATCCGATGAGTATTAAAAAAGTTACGATCGTTTAAAGTGAAACACCCAAAACGCTGAGAACTTTTTCCGGACAACCTAATAATTACCATATTCTTCGCAAGCGCGATTCATACGAGGTGATGTGAATGAAGAATCAGTTAGTGGTGTTCTCAGACTCTGCGCCAATTTCATCTTTCCGATTGGAGGACTATTCAATTTGTTACTACTACAAATCTTGGTGACATCCAGAAACCATTTTACTATCGAGAATTTTGGAAAAAAGGCTAGATAATTTGTTCGAGACATTCAACCTCCAAAGTACACGAATATCGCATCGCTTGACTAGGGATGTGGCGCTCAGCGGCTCAAGGCTTTGCGCTCCAATCGCTATGGAGAGCGCGTCCTTCACGTCCGACATACTCGTCCAAGACGCCGCCCCACTGCTGAGGGGAGGTCTGTGTTTAGGGTGTTCCCAAGGTTTTTTTTTCGCTTCTTTTTCTACTGAGGAGCTACTTATGGGCCACTGGTTCATGACTGAGCACCAACTACCCGTAACACTTGATCGCGGGAATTGTCTTTAACTCATTCTGAAAGCATTTTTTATGGGAATCACAACCACTGTGACGTACATAAAGGATAAAGCTCCAGCCGTTGATAGATCCCGTTCTGGAATACGGCACAATTCTACTCTACTCAGAACCGTGGTGGCTTATTGAGTGCAACATGGCCTATACAATGAGTTCTGAGGGCTGCGTTCCGCCTAAAGTGCTGAAGGCCTGCGTGTGTCGTACCGCGTTATCGCGAAGTCTAAAAGCTGCTTAAAGTTTACCATCCTCGGTCCCCGTCATAAGTCGCTGTCCTAGCTCGTCAGATTGTTTTACCGTGTATTTCATTCCTCCAAACAATGCCAAGTCAGTGCTAAAGACGTGATAGTGTCGCATGACTTTTACTCGAACCAAACCAAACCAACGAAAGGCTTCAGGTTCAAGGTTCAACCGAGGACCATCAGCTTTTCTGACACAGAAAAGGCCGTGCGACTGTGGTGTTATGATCAGGGCACATCATTGGTTGGGATTTTATTCGAGGCTGTACCCCGACCCGCCCAGCTTTTTTTAGGGGGGGGGGTGGTACGATCCCCTCTCCGGCCCTGACCCTCCTCATCGAATCAAGCCGTCGAGGGGGGAGGGAGGGTAAATAGCATATGTGAAAAAGGAAAAGCCGCGGGACGATACAAAGCCGCGAGACAATACGACCCCCTCCCTTCTACCAATTTTCAGATTTTCCCCCAACTTCCTGCCACTTTTTCCAAAATTTCCCGAAAACTTCCCTACTTTTCCCAAAAATTTTGCTGTCGAGCGGGAGGGGAGGGGAGAGTACACAGTCCTCATCATTGCGGACTGTCGGAGGGCGGCTGTGCAACGCGGTCAAATGGGCGTTCGGCCTCGTTGCTCTACCAATGGCGATCGGGTAAAGATCGGAGGGAGCAACCAATTGTCGGGTCGCTGATTGCGACCCGACAATTGCGGTGATGTAAAGTATACAGTACACCGCATGAAACAGGAAAATCACAAGTCAACCACCGCTCCTACAACGCCAAAACGTAAATACGACCCCCCCCTCCCAACAATGACCAAGTACGACCCCCCCCTTTACAACGTCCGTGAAGCGAGAAAAATCAACTATCAAAATAAATTTTTCCCAGCCCAAATACGACCCCCCTTGGGGATTCCCCAACAACGACGTGCCTGGTTATGATGCACGTTCTGTCCAGTGCAATAAACGCGTACAGAAAATCAAGGAATCGACCCTCGATCTTGCCCCAACTTGTAACAGACTAAAGTAGATTTATTACTGCATAGAATTTGATTAACAACAACAATGTCAAATTCACAAGATGTGAAAATAATAGCATCTAGAGTGAAAAGCACTCTGTAAACGTTCACATAGTGAGCATAAATACAAAACAAAATTATGAAGCTATGGAAGGCACATAAATACAGTAACAGTGAGTGATTATCATAGGGTTATCAACCTGAATATAATAAACAAACACTTGTTAGTAACCACTTATTTAGTAAAGATGCACAATAAATGTACAAATCACAAAATACGCACAACACCGGAACAACTACAGAAGGGTCATATTCTCTGTGCAAACTTATTACAAACCACAAAATCTAAACATATTGCAGAATTTTTACAAGTAACACTTTTTGATTGTTCTCGAGAATTACGAGTGGTTGAAAATGAGAGAGATGGTGCAGCACAGGTAGAGCCGATATCACCGGAGTCAGTGGGGGCGCGTCAGGTTGTGTTCATACTTCGAGTCAGCGTCCACCCGGCGAACGCCAGCGTCCACCAGCGTTTCCAGCCTGCGCCAGCGCCAGCGGTTAGGCAATTATGACTATCGATCTACGAACGTCATAGTCTATCAGCGTACAACAGCGTTTTTGCAGGCACTTTTCAGCTTGAGCAAAAGTGCTGGCGAAAACTCTGCTGTACGCTGGTGGAGTAGATCGATACCTATACTTTCCTAGGCGCTGGGAGAGGGCTCGAAACGCTGGCGCGGACGCAAAGTAAGAACGCAGTCTCAGCAAAACATGGGTTTCGGCGCAGCGTGAGCCCGCTGTGGCGTCGATCGTTGCGACTTCAGGCGCTTCCATGAGTTCTTGGAACGAGCTGGTCGCCGCGTCGACAAGCCATGCCGCCGCTGACAAACGCCGCGACTACTTTCGAGTGGTCCACGACTGAACGTAAATTCCCAAGGTGTTATTTCAGTTCAGCATAATTTCAGCTCTTCAGCAGACATAATGCTACCTGATCTGCAATTGCGAAAAATCGTGAAAAAATTACAAAGCTAATCCTACCAAAATTTCCAAATCAAAGAATTTTCTGAAAATTAAACATGAAATTTAAAGGCGATGGTACATATTATTGCTGAGTTTATGAGTAGAATGTCAACACTGAGGTTTGATTTCCACGAACCAGTAGAAGTGGGGTGGAAGACTCGAGTCATTATGTCGTAGCCATGAAAAATTACAGTGGAAGCGCTGAACCAATACCTTTAGCGGGCTACGTGGTAAAAGGTTCTAGAAGAAAGCATATTTCCAGGGGAAAACAAAAAAATAATAAAAAAAAACAGAATTAAAGCACTGGAACTCACATAACGACAAGATCGACGTCCATAGAGTGATCATGAAGAAGTTCAGCAGTACGCAGTGTCGATAGTTTTTCCGGTGTTCTGGCGCATTCCAGCCTCAGGTTTTGGTGTGTGGTCATACCGGGAGGACAATCCTGATCATCTTTGCAAATGAACGGTGCGATCAAAGTTTCCCAAACCATCATGCTGAAATGATAAAAATAGCTAAAAGAGTAGTCACGGTACCTAATGAATTGTTCCTTCTTCGCAGAACGAGGGCAAAGCGGCTATGGGGGAGGGGCCTTTTGCACATTCACTGCTTAGATAGTTCCGGTTTACAAGTCTCACTCTGGTGAAACCTGTGAACTCATGTGAAGCTGGAGCAAGCTCGTCCAGCCGCCATGGTAAAACCTCTCATATTTTGTAAAGCAATGTACACAACAATGGGAAGAAGCGAAATTGCAAAATGCTCCCTCCCCCCACGCAGCCAAAGTGCAGCGAAAGCGAAAAGGGATAAACGTTATGGAATCAATCAAAACTTATAAGGTTCGAGCAGAACTAACGTCTCTGGTCTGGGTTTTCGTCCAATGTCAGAAATAACGGACACGTCGCTGAAATTTATTCGGAATTTCGACAACAACGCTGCCATGCTTCGTTGTTCCTGTTCCATCGTTCGAGAACTCGTCGAGATCGTAAATACACGCAATTTCGCACCCTAAAAGGAAGCAAAGTTCAAAATCGAACAAAACAGACGTTTCAAGCAGAACTGATTACCTCCAAATAACTCTTCGGGATAGTCAAAAGGTGTGGTATCAGGAGTGTGAGTCCTCCGTCGTCGTACAGCCACCAAACATCTACGACGCCCTGAAGCATGTAGGGAAACAGCATTAATTCTTAAGATCTATGAACGTGATCCCACAAACGATAGGGCCTGTGAAGAGCCGTGAGCTGGAGAGCAATTAGGTACGCAGCCCTGGACGGGTATGCTAGGCGGGTAAGCAGCCCTGGACGATCGGCGCCGCTACTGTTTTAGAGAATATGGACGAAGAGGACGGTACTTATGCCTTGTCACACTGTCAGTCAGCGCGGGCCACCAGTGTTTTGTGAGAGTATGGAAGGACCAGGAGGGTACCAGAGCGTGTGATCAGGCAAAGTCGGCGCAGTTCGGCGAGGGGGGGGGGGGGGCATTTTGCTTCCCATCGATGTGTCGACCCATCTAGATAGCCTTTTCTTGAGTTGACATGTTTACCATGGTGGCCAGCTTTACAAGAGTTCACAAGTTTCACAGAGTGAGACTTGTAAACCGGAAGTAATGAAGCAGTGTAAGTGCAAAATGCTCCCCCACCCCGCCAACCCCATCGTCGAACTGCGCCGGCAGTCTGTTCTCCTATTTTCAATACACTCTCCCAAAGCATAATGACCAGCGCAGATCAATGCACGTCTATCTGCGTCCTGGCTGTAGCACTTTTGTATTGGTAGCGCGTCGACGCGCGTCACAGCGCCTTACCGCGCATCGCCGCGGAGTTTGAACGCTGACAAACAGCCTTTTCCGCAGTTTTTTTCTGACTAAAAGTTGCATCATTAGTGGGAAAGGAATTCTTGGCAGCGCTCCCATCCACGTTTCGCCACGCACCCTATCGCTTGCGGGGATCATGATCATATCCATGACAAATGCGAATGATGCACTAGAGTTACAGATCAACTGGTGTACCTTTTTGATCTTGCGCTGGAAACGAGCAATTGAAGCAATCAATGCTTTTTGTTCCGTAGTTGGGCGACGGGTGCTGAAAACAACATATGTAACATTCGTGGCATTCAGAAGTTTGCAGGAACTTCTAAGTACACCGTTGGGGGTGGCCGAGAGGGAGGAGCCAGGGAACGATGTCAGTGATGTGCCTGCCCTAAGGGGCGCGCAGCTGACGCCGTTTCCCAGCTCCGCCCACCCGACAAACATGATCTGCCTTCGATGGAAATACGATTAGCGGTCGCGACAAATTAGAAGACGATAGTTCATGCCACTGTACGAAAACACAACCACAATTTGCACACAACATGTATGCACGCTTAATACGACACAAAACGTACACGGCTGAATCCTGGGAAGCTTTGCTGAGTCTGTTGAGGAACCTTAGAAAGTAGGACTTTTTCAAAGTGATTTTTTCAATTTCACTGTGGAGTAACTGCGCAAATGATTATCGCATGAAACTGGTGGAACCCGACGCCACGCTAAGACAATAGACCCAAGAATATGTCCTTCTGTATCGGCTAAGTTTTCCAATCAACTGCCAAGAAAAACTCACCTCTCGCCTTCTGGAGAAATGTGTGCGTGTTCTTCTTCGATTCATCTTCTTGATGAGCTGTTCCTAGTTCGGGGTCATCTTCGACTTCCTTTGTCACAGCCTTTTCACCCTCCGCATCTTCCGCTCCGGACTCACAGTTGTCATCCTGAAGCAAAGCACTGCAATAGTGCAGCAACTGAGAGTTTTCGCAAGGATGCATTTACGGATGTATCAGCTTTCCTTCATTGTCATTAATAATCATTTACGCTTAGGTAAATGATTATGTAATGAACAATGAAGTTTCGGATAGGAACTGCACGGTTCCTAAAGGTTCACGATAGACCACGCGCTCTAAAGCTTTCCACAACACAAGGCAACTTTCAAACCCTCCTTTGGTCTGGTTGTTTGCGCAGGGCCACGTTCAGATTTTGCGATGACATGCGTCGTCGCGCTACCGCGGTTGGCAAATATGCGCTATAAGCTCACACCACTTGCAAGGATTTCATAAAACGCGGTGCCAATGCGGCCCGGCCGGTCGCTATAGGTGTTTTGCGGAAAAGAATAGGAGAATTAGGAGGGTCTATACATCAATTTGGTACTCTCATTGCCCTACTCTCCGTTCTCCCAGAACAACCAGCGCCGGTTCCGTTCCCACTTCAAGGGCGCATTTCCATCTATCCTATAGCAGTGGAGTGCTAGTGCGTGCAAGCAACGGCAGTACGACGACGAGCGTCATCGCAAAGTCTGTACGCACACTTATGAAAAGTATGAATGTGGCTCCCTGGGGAGGCGAGACACGGTCTTAGCATATACAAGTCCTTGTGGACACATTCTGCTGTAATCGCAGGGGCGAGACCCACAACTATTACAATTTCCCAGTTTGTGCCCATCCTCTCGCTGGAGAGGGGAATACATGGTGATTGTGAGCCTACGCCCATGACTTCCGTGGGCGAAGACACATCCTCATCCATTGTGCCTCCCTCATTATCGGGAAGCGGTTGTCGCGAAATCGGGTGACGAGGCTGCAGAGTAAGTGGGACCGTACTTCTTTGCCTCTCGCGTGCGCTGTTTTCCTAAAGGGAGCTAAGCATGGGGGGTGGGGATGTAAAGCACTGACCAACAACAACTGGACACGAAAGAGTCCCGCCCGCTCGCACATTGCAACTTCCCCAAAATCGTTAGCCCTTAGAATAAACGATAGCTCACCTCTATATCGTCGAAACCATAATTTTCCGTCAAAGTGTTGGAAGCTGCAAGTAAAAAAAATTAACAAGTGATCAAGGTCAAAATCAGCACTACTACATCACAGCGACTGTACAACACCCCAAGTTACCAGCAATATAATGATGATTAAGATTAGCAAAACGCTCCATACTATGTGCACTGTCCTTGTGTCGTAGAGCTGAATACAGCTACATTTCAAATTAAATGAAAGCACAAATCGACCGTAGCTGTCAATTCTGGAGTTTGACTCAACTCCATTTTTCAACTAGAGGTCTCGGTACACGTCTTTTCTCGCCCGATCTTGGATCCGCCTAAATGACGCCACTTCTTGGCTGGCGGCAAATAACGCCTAGTGCAATCATTGTTAATAAGGGCGAGGCAGAGGCATTTACCACCATTCTTCGATCGTTTGAGGCTTTCAAGGGATACTAGACCCACAGGCCACCTGAGCTGATGTCGTCAATCAATCGAGCGGTGCAAGGAGGGTTGGAGTGAGCCCGCCCTGCTGACTTTTTTTACCAATAGTGATAGGTCAGTGATCGATTTAGGAAGAACAACCAAGATAGGAGCACTTTCCTTGCCTACTGAGACGGCCCTGGGTGATAGCAACGGTATCAAGTGTACGTTGGTAGACCATTTCTTGAGGTGAGCATTGGCTAGCTCCAGGAGGATATTGTGGAGGTCATTCAGCATCAAA